TCTCTCTCTATCTCTCTCTCTTCTCTCTCTCTCTCTCACATACACACACACACACATACACACAGACACACACACACACACACACCACACACACACACACCACACACACACACATAAACACACACACACGCATACAAAATCACACACACCCACACAGAGCTCATATTCATCAACACTCCAGTTGTAGGCTACTTGGTGCACTCCAGTTTACTTTGCCGAAAAGATACAGACAGATAACACAAACAAACCAAAAAGCATTGGGACAAATAACAATACAAACAGACAAACATATAGATGTATAGACAGAAAGACATTGAAAAAACACAGACAAAAAAGCTGTAAGATGACATTACATGCAAACAATGAGAGAGACAGCAATTTCAAACAGAAAACAGACCTGGAATAGTTAAAAGAAGACAGGTAGACAGACAGACACACAGACAGACAGACAGTCAGACAGAAAGACAAGATAACATTTTGATAAATAGTTATAAACAAACGGCAAAACTACTTTGTGCTTTCTGCTCAGCTGCCTGTTTCTATTCAGAATGTATAGGAAATCGTTTGCTCCCCCTCAATAGTCCCAGGAAAATTCGTTCCCTAATATTGATTGTAACTCTTTGACCCATGGCCTGTAAAACTTCTGCAGCATTTTCCGAGTTTTATTCATCATTGCAGGAACCTCTTTATAATGTTTTCCAGAATTGGAAACTTTCTTCCTGACTATGGCATCCAATTGCTCCTTGTTTAATGGATCTGTTGAGAGAAAGAAAAGTTATTGCTGTGCTGTGCGCATTATATTTTCTTTAACATGTCTATTCTTATTGCCAAAATGGTTACGATTTAAGAGGCTGGCTGCTTCAGGACCAACCTTGATGAGTGGGATTCAACATGCAAGCAGACAGGCAAAGATACCTGAAAGAGAAAGTTTCCCTATTCCCATGGCGGTTTGGGGGGGGGGGGTTGCTTTGTTTTGTTTTTCTTTAAATTTTTTTTTTCCAGGCGTTGAGACATAGCAAGGTAGCACGTTACGTGGCATGGCCATGGAAAGTTCCTACTAGGTAGGTCTATTTGATCAGACATAAATACAGCCATCATAATGTGTATATGTTTGTCATCATGGTGAAATCAAGCACTCATTACAATAATGTTGCGTCGGTGGCTTAGTGGTTAGGCTCTCGGACTCGTAACCATTAGGTCGTGGGTTCGAATCCCGTCAGGGGCCCGACGTTTGTGTCCTTGGGAAAGGCACTTTGCACACATTTTCCTCACTTCACCCAGGTGGAAATGGGTACCCGGCTATAGACAGTGAACGATCTTGTCAGTTTGATAGTGTTTGAGCGTGTGAAATCCGCAGCTTGCACTGTATGCTTTCGTGGAAGCCGAGTATGTTTCTGAGTGTTCTCAGAGGGTCTGCTGGAGTAATGATAGTTGTAAAGTGCATAGAGCATGCTCTTGAGCATGAATATGCGCTATATAAATGCAATTATTATTATCATTAAGATATTATAGAAACCAACATTAATTTTTTCCCCCGATGGCCAATTTATTTTATTTATCAAATTTTTTGTTTTTGTTCTTTGGGGGATTTTGTGGGTTCAGACAGGCAAAGTCAAAGTATTCTTCTTAAATAAACTAAATTGTGCTGATCATGACTTAAAACATTTACAATCTATTCTTTTCTCCTCCTACAAAAGTTCTGCTGTACTATCTGGTACATCTAGTTTAAGTGAAGTATAGTCAGCGGAGAAAATTTGCCTTATAATGTCAGCTCTTCATAATCTTTCTTAGTTTTCTTAGTTTTACTCTTCTACAACCTTTGCTGTTGCTGTTGCTGTTGTTGTTGTTGTTGTTGTTGTTGTTGTTGTTGTTGTTGTTGTTGTTGTTGATGTTGTTGTTGCAGTAGTTGTTGTTGCAGTAGTTTTTGTTGTTCATGTTCGATTTGTTATGTGCTGTTGCAGCTCTGTTGTTTTTCCAGCTTCAGCTTCTAGAGCCCAACCCTTCACTAGAAAAAACATACTTCCCCATAAAGGAGCTGAACTCGATTTGTTTTGCCTGCAAAAGCTTAGAGCATAACCATCATACAACAAATTCTGAAGCAAAGGATGAATAACTGAGACACTTACGTAATTCTAAAAATGAAAAAACCTTTTTCAGAGTCCCAGGTATATCTTTGACGTAGTCTTCAAACCTAGAAAAAGAGCAAACTTCAGGTAAGCAAAGGAACAAAGTATTAGGGAGGAGGGTGTGTGTGTTAAATGTACTGTGTATAACAGATTGTAATCTAGGAGGTCTAGAGTCAGATTCATACAAAAAAACACAGCAGGAGATGATAAGGGTGAGGCGAAGAATGATTATTGTATTTTTATACTCAAAGCGTAAGCAGAAAAACAAAGACACTTGATAAATCTGACTTCCAGGGTATTCCACGGAAGCGATGAGACATTTGGACTACATTTTCTTATAATGATAACACTGTAATTAATTTATTTCAACTTTAAATGATCAGAACATTTGAAAGACACAACAAGAACCATAATAAATGCAGTCATTCGAGAGAAAAAAGTGCTTTAGGTAACTTCTGTGACGTGTTTGGTTTTGGTAACTGACAGGACAGAAAAAATACCTTTCCTACTTCTTTTGCCTGTTGTAGCAAAGAGTTTCACTATTACACTATTAGAAACTAGTGAGAAGCAATTAATTCAAAAACAATTTTAAATACAAAAAAGTAAAGTACTCAAAAAAATATACAGTAAGGTGAATTTTCATTACTTACCTGAGAAACAATATCTGATTTTTAGGAAAAACTTTCATCCAATCTTTGATGAAGATGGAGTACATACTTTCCTGTAGTCGCAGTTTCTGGAGACACAAAAATACGAGAGAATAAGTCAACAACTAGAAGAAATTCAAGACTTAGTGGAAGGAGCAGAAGGCTATGGAATCAACCATTGCTTGGAACCGTCAGCATCTACACACTTCGAGATGTGCTTCTTCAGGGGACGGAGCGCTTATGGGGATGCCCCTTGTGCAGTGATGTCGGTCCTTCACACAAGTAAACACAAGTAAACACAAGTAAACAAGTAGAAGAAAAATTGTGATTTCTGAGTCATAGCGAGTACCTTGAGGGTGCCTCTGGAAGGTTAAATATTATTATTTGCTATAGCATCTCTCTGTTAGAGAATCAACAGCAGTGACAGCAGCAGCACTACCAGTAGCAGTAGTAATCTTTGTTATAAACAATATAAACCTGTTTATATCTACCTCTTTGCTCTGGCGTTGACCAGATGGCAAGGACATGTGGTTACTTGAGGGAGGAATTGTGTTGCCAACAGCGAAATGCTCTCAGCAAAAGGGATGTGAAAACAAACAAACATATCTACCTCTTTCTCTCTCTCTCTCTCT